TTGTGTCTGATATCTCTGTATACACCCAGTAGGCCCCTATTGTTTCCATTGTTCTTGATATCTCTGTATACACCCAGTAGGCCCCTATTGTTCCCATTGTGTCATATCTTCTGTATATACCCTGTAAGCCCATGTGTTCCCATTGTGTCTGACATCTCCTCTATAACCAGTAGGCCCCTGTGTTCTCATTGTGTCTGATATCTCTGTATATGCATTGTAAGCCCCTATTGTTCACATTGTGTACCCTGTGTCTCTTATGCCCCTATTAATGTCTCCCTTGTTTCTGAAATATTGCAACTCCTGTAGGCCCCTTATTGTTCCCATTGTGTCTGATATCTGCTTATACATCCAGCAGGCCCCTATTGTTTCCATTGTGTCTGATATCTCTGTATATACCCAGTAGGGCCCCTATTGTTCCCATTGTGTCTGATATCTCTGCATACACCTAGTAGGCCCTTTTTCCATGGTGTCTGATATATCTGTACATATCCAGTAGGCCCCTATTGTTCCCATTGTGTCTGATATCTCTGCATATACCCCTTGAAACCCATGGTGTCTGATATACCTGTACTGTGTGCCCCTTATTGTTCCCATTGTGTCTGATTAAATCTATTGTTCCCATTGTTCCCATTGTGTCTGATATCTTCTGTATATATACCTTGTAGGCCCTTTGTGTCTCCTCATTGTGTCTGATGTCACTGTGTGGGGTTTCCGGTGTCTCATTGTTCCCATTGTGTCTGTGTCTCTGTATATACCTTGTGTGCCCCTATTGTTCCCATTGTGTCTGATATCTCTGTATATACCCAGTGTGTCCCCTCTGTATATGTTCCCATTGTGTCTGTATCTCTGTATATACCCAGCAGGCTCCCTATTGTTCCCATTGTGTCTGTGTCTGTGCATACCGTGTGGCCCCTATTGTCTGTGTGTCCATTGTGTGTCCCTGTCTGTGTCTGATATCTCTGTATATACCCAGTGTCTCATTGCCCATTGTCTGTGTCTCTGTGTGTGTGTTCCATTGTGTCTGTGTCTCTGTGTGTTCTGTGTCCCTATTGTTCCATTGTGTCTGTCTCTGTGTTGTTCCATTGTGTCTGTCTCTGTGTGTCTCTGTTGTGTGTCTGTATATACTGTGTCCTATTGTTCCCATTGTGTGTGATATGTCTGTCCCTGTGCCCCATTATTGTTCCCATTGTGTCTGTGTATTCCATGTTCCATTGTGTCTTCCATCTCTTCCATTGTGTCTGTGTCCATTTTATGTCCATTGTGTCTGATATCCTGTGTGTCCCTATTGTTCTTTGTGTCTGTGTCTGTGTGTACCCTGTGCATGGGGTCCCTGTGTGTCCATTGTGTCTGTGTGTCTGTGTGTTGTTCATTGTGTCTGATGTCTCTGTGTCTCTGTGTAGGCTGTGTGTCTGTGTGTCCATACCTGTGTGGTCTGGTTCCATTGTGTCTGATGTCTTCTGATTCCCCATGCCTGTGTCCTGTATCTCTGTGTCATGTGGTCCCTATTGTTCCCATTGTGTCTGATGTCTCTGTATGTCCCTATTGTTCCCATTGTGTCTGTTATCCTGCATGTACCCCGTGTAGCCCCCATTGTTCCCATTGTGTCTGTCCATCTCTGTGTCTGTGGCCCCCTCATTGTCTCCATTGTGTCTGATATCTCTGTGTGTACCCTGTGTCTGTCTCTTATGTGTCTCATTCTGTTCATGTCTTCTATTGTTCCCATTGTGTATGTCTGTATATACCCAGTAGGCTCCCTTATTGTTCTATTGTGTCTGATATCTCTGTATACCCTGTAGGCCCCTATTGTTCCCATTGTGTCCTGTATATACTCTGTAGGCCCCTATTGTTCCCATTGTGTCTGATGTCTGTTCCATTGTGTGTGATATCTCTGTCTTGTGTCCCATTGTGTCTGTTCCCATTGTGTATCTGATGTTGAAACCCTGTGTCTCTGTCTATTGTGTGTGTTGTATACACCCTGTGCCCTCATTTGTGTGTCTGATATCTTCTGTATCTGTGTGGGCCCCTATTGTTCCCACATTGTGTCTGATATCTCTTATATACCCAGTGTTGTGCCCTTGTTCCCATTGTGTCTGATATCTCTCTGCATATACCTGTAGGCCCCTATTGTTCCCATTGTGTCTGATATCTCTCTACATAATTTGTGTGTCCTTGTTCCCATTGTGCCCATTGTGTCTCTGATATCTCTGTATATACCCAGCAGCTATTATTGTCCCTCTCTGTAAACACTCTGCATATCTGTTTCCCATTGTGTCTGATATCTCTGTATATACCCAGTGGCCCCTATTGTTTCCATTGTTGTTGATATGTCTCTGTATGTAGGGGCCCCTATTGTCTGTCCTGTATATACCCTGTGTGTTCTCTGTATGTTCCCATTTGTATATCTCTGTATATACCCCTGTAGGCCACTGTGTTCCCATTGTGTCTGATGTCTATTGTATACCTTGTATGCCCTATTGTTCTCCATTGTTTCTGATATATCTGTATATACCCCTGTAGGCCCCTATTGTTCCCATTGTGTCTGATATCTCTTTATACACCCAGTAGGCCCCTATTGTTCTCCATTGTGTCTGATATCTCTGTATATACCCAGTAGGCCCCTATTGTTCCCATTGTGTCTGATATCTCTGTATACACCTAGTAGGCCTTTATTGAAACCCATTGTGTCTGATATCTCTGTATATACCCAGTAGGTTCCTTTTATTGTTCCCATTGTGTCTGATATCTCTGCATGCACCCAGTAGGCCCTTTTGTTCCCATGGTTGTCTGATATATCTGTACATATCAGGGCTCCCCCTATTGTTCCCATTGTGTCTGATAGATCTGTATATACCCAGTAGGCCCCTATTGTTCCCATTGTGTCTGATAGATCTGTATATACCTTGTAGGCCCCTATTGTTCCCATTGTGTCTGATATCACTGTATATACCGTGTTGGCCCTCATTGTTCCCATTGTGTCTGATATCTCTGTATATACCCAGTACGCCCCTATTGTTCCCATTGTGTCTCAGATGTCTCTGTGTATACCGTGTAGACCCTTATTGTTCCCATTGTGTCTGATATCTCTGTATATACCCTGTAGGTCCCCTATTGTTCCCATTGTGTCTGATATCTCTGTATATACCCAGTACGCCCCTATTGTTCCCATTGTGTCTGATATCTCTGTATATACCGTGTAGGCCCTTATTGTTCCCATTGTGTCTGATATCTCTGTATATACCCAGTAGGCCCCTATTGTTCCCATTGTGTCTGATATCTCTGTATATAGCCAGTAAGCCCCTATTGTTCCCATTGTGTCTGATATCTCTGTATATACCGTGTTGGCCCTCATTGTTCCCATTGTGTCTGATATCTCTGTATATACCCAGTAGGCCCCTATTGTTCCCATTGTGTCTGATATCTCTGTATATACCCTGTAGGCCCCTATTGTTCCCATTATGTCTGATATCTCTGTATATACCCAGTAGGCCCCTATTGTTCCCATTGTGTCTGATATCTCTGTATATATCGTGTAGGCCCCTATTGTTCCCATTGTGTCTGATATCTCTGTATATACCCTGTAGGACCCCTATTGTTCCCATTGTGTCTGATATCTCTGTATATACCCTGTAGGCCCCTATTGTTCCCATTGTGTCTGATATGTCTGTATATACCCAGTAGGCCCCTATTGTTCCCATTGTGTCTGATATCTCTGCATACACCTAGTAGGGCCCTATTGAAACCCATTGTGTCTGATATGTCTGTATATACCCAGTACGCCCTTATTGTTCCCATTGTGTCTGATATCTCTGCATACACCTAGTAGGGCCCTATTGAAACCCATTGTGTCTGATATGTCTGTATATACCCAGTAGGCCCCTATTGTTCCCATTGTGTCTGATATCTCTGTATATACCCAGTAGGCCCCTATTGTTCCCATTGTGTCTGATATCTCTGTATATACCCAGTAGACCCCTATTGTTCCCATTGTGTCAGATATCTCTGTTCTCCCTTGTGTCTGATATCTGTGTATACATGCTGTAGGCCCCTATTGTTCTCCCTTGTGTCAGATATCTCTGTATACACCCAGTAGACCCCTATCGTACCCCATTGTGCTTGATGTCTCTGTATACACCCAGTAGGCCCCTACATGATATATCTGTATGCGCCAAGTAGACTCAAATTTTGCCTTCGTGTATTTGATATATCTGCATACACCAGGAAGTCCACTATTTAACCCCGTGCAGATATCTTTGTAGAAGACCCTGTTGTTCCACAGAGTACATAACATCTTTTTCTCCCTCGTTTACGTAATATATCCACACATGTCAAGAAGGCCCTATTGTTCGAAAAATTGATATCTTTGTATACAGACAGATCGACCATGCGTGTCACAAAGCGTCTTTGTTACACACACATTCACACAAGCATTACATTCCGTTCAATGTTCAACGAAAAACGTGTCACGTATTCCACAAACCCGCACTAGGTGCCAGAGATTTGTCTTCACAAAGAATTAAACCGGTACAAATGTGCACGTGTACACCGACTGGGTTCCGACGTTAGTAACCTGTAACTGGTTCAAGCACATTGCGTCTGACCTTGACCTTAAACCATGCTCCAGTTTCAGACAATTGACATCTGGACTGTTACGGCAAATCTCGCCTACCTGACCGGTATCCATCACAGGTAGCTTACCGCAACAGTCTCACATACATTTACCTTATGGCAAAAGAACACCTTACTGGTGAGGCACAGAAACACATTAGGGCCGTGCTTGTCACTCATCCTGTGGAGGTATTGTAGATAGAGTTATTTCTTCAGCGCTGTTCTACATTGCGACTGGATATTCTGCACACGGTAATTATACCAGTCTGCTAGAACCTAGTACGGATGGTTATGCATACTAAATATACCTACGATGTCATAGGTAAGGGCAGACGGGCTGACACTCCGGAGAAGCTTCGGAATCTCGTATAGTGACACGCACGAGCGGTGCACGTGGTCGTGAGACCTGCACTGCCTACGTAACCTATATGTGCGCTAATGGACTCGCCCTCGCAACGCTTTCACCGACAGGTGCCGACGGGGGAATGTTTAGTAGATTACAGCCTACATATTGAGCATTGAATGAGAAGTTTTATATCTATACCTACACAGTAAGTCAGTGCATATCATTCACCGAGTGCAGTGATACGGTGTTCTCACACGACTATCTGGGATGCAACTTCCGGTGAATGCACCCTTGACTGTGATGCTGGGATTTGAAAGGCAAGCTGATGATTGTCATTATGCCAGATGCTGCACTAGGCCGGACCTTTCTTGAGTGAACAAAACACAGGACCGATCCTGCACAAAGCGAAGTGAGAGCTGACGGTAGTTCGTAGAGGCTTTGCTTGGATTTACTACACCACAGTGCCATTGTACGGTAGGTTGAGATGCATACAGGAATAGACATGCGCTACTCTTAAAACCCAGTTGGGACAGTTCCAGACCTCGCTATATTTGGATTTCCTACCCCAAAGTGCCAATATACGGTAGGTTGAGATGATTATAGGAATAAACTGCCATCAGTCTTAAAACTGGGCTGGCACAGTTGGGTCAGTTCCAAACCTGGCAGATATGAGCACGTGTTCTCGTCTCAAAATGAAAATGAGAACAGAAGAAGCTTTTGTTGTGATGTTTTTGTAGTAGGGAGGGGGCGGTGGGGGCCTAGTAGTTAAAACGTTCGCTCGGCACGCTGAATCCGTGATATTACTGGAATATTGCTAAAACATCACAACAAAAGCAGCTTTTATTGGGATGTTTTTGTAGTAGGGGAAGCCTATAGTGGTTAAAACGTTCTTCACGCTGCAGATCCTCCGTGGTCTTTTCCACACATGCTAAAGCGGCGAAATACCATGCTTGCTTACTCACTCACTCATTCACTCACTCGTATGAATGGAAATATCTGCTGCAAAGAATAGAATGCATGTCGGTGTTAAGTACCGTGTGGTACAATGTGTGGAGTAACGACGGTGTATGGTGAGAGCGCTTATGTGGAACGGAAATTGCAATCGGTTTCGGCCGTTTGTTGGCAACATCATTCCTATACTTCAACTAGATGATCACGTCAATTGTAAAGGGCCTAACACAAAATACCCATGGTATGATACGTCGATATGCATTCATGTGAAAAAAAAATCACCATGTCTTTAGTCACTTCCCAAGTAACGTTCGCAATCTATAGTCATTCATGAATAACAGTAGTGAGTATGGTTTTACTCCGCTTTTAGCAATATTTCACAATATCACAGCGGGGGACACCAGAAATGGGCTTCACACATTGTACTTATGTGGGGAATCGAAACCGAGTCTTCGGCGTGACGCGCGAGCGCTTTAACCACTAGGCTACCCGCTGCCCCCAGTCGTTTTCGAGGGTCTCACGATGCCCTTGTTAGTGGCGACATTATGAGACACAGGAACTGAGTCGTCTGGCATTTGACCTTATTTAGGCCGATGTTATAGCTGACTGAGAGATTGTGGGTCAACGTATTTGGCTTCAGGCCTGGCGGTTAAGTGTTTAGGAGTGCGGTGCGTGAACCAATTGCTTGCGTGTTTCTTCTGTTTTTAACAGGTGTTATATTAACAGAAATATATAGGAAGGATATTAGGTACCGTACAAACTTTCCCTGTGCATAACAGACTGTTGGTGAAAAGTATGTATAATGGTTTTAGAATGATTTTGCAATCAAACAATATATTGGCGTCTGTGGACATTAATAGTAAGTAAGTGAGAGTGAGTGTGGTTTTACGCCGCTTGAAGCAATATTCCAGCAATATCACGGCGGGGGACACCAGAAATGGGCTTCACACATTGTGCCCATATGGGGAATCGAACCCGGGTCTTCGGCGTGACGGTTGAACGCTCTCACCCCTGGGCTACCCCAGCGCCCCTGGACATTAATAACTCATGGCGGTGCCGGTACATTAGTCTGTCTCACAGTCCCTGAACCACATTATTTCCCCTACTGCCAAGCCACTCTGCAGTGCCAAAGCCCTAAATAAAGCAAGTCTAGATTTCCTCTGAATCTCTGGTCTCCCTGGGGCTCCTTTTCAATTTAAATGGGCTTGTTTGTTACTATCAAAATTATATATATTCAGAGACTAAGCATTAGTCTACCGGTACATGTACCCTGTAGACGAGTATCCCAGTCGTTCAAGACGCCGCATTTCGCGGTGCAGAGTTGCGTCCCTTCCGAACGCCAGAAGCCTGTTACTGTGGGTTCGAACCCTGGTTAAACTGTTGTTCAGTTTGTGACCACAATACCCGTGCTGGTAAGTGTCACCGAAGCAGTGAAACTGAAAGCAAAGGAAATAAAACCTGCGTCACTTTGGGGTTTTAGTCTCATAACAAACAGTGTGTTAACGTCATGTCTGGCTGAAAGTGGCGAAGAGCCCATTGACACAAGCTTGACAACGACGCCTCATTGACTGCAGAAGATGGCTGAGGAAACCTCTGTGATGTCGTTTCAGATCTGGAACAAGGCCTGGACCAATGCCACCGGTTGGTTTGACATTAATTTCATTCCATTCATGGATGGGCGACAGACCTGCGTGACATCAGACCGAGGGAGTTTGATAATGTTATGTTGTCCAGTGAAGCCTGTGACTACGAGGGCGGACATTGTTCCTTAAAGTGACGCCATGTCAACGGTCTGAAGGAACTGGAGGAAGCCAGGACGGACAAGGTCACGGCACGGTTTACCTGTCACGTTGCCACCGATGACCAACAGAATGGTCCTGGGATGTGCAGTGGTCATATGTGCAACGTGGGCGCGTGCATTGTTTCTACTGTTAGTTAATGTGGCGTCAGGGCCTGAATTAACGTTTGGATAAGAGGTTGGGTACCTTACACTTATAAAATGAACATGGACGACCACAAGAGGAGTCATATCACAATCATCCGTCCATCTACACCAGCCTCACAAACACATTGTAAGGTAAAGGAGAGAGGGCGGTGGGGTAGCCTAGTGGTTAAAGTGTTTGCTCGTCACGCCGAAGACCCGGGTTCGATTCCCTACATGGGTACAATGTGTGAAGTCCATTTCCGGCGTCCCTCGTCGTGATGTTGCTGGAATGTTGCTAAAAGCGGCGTAAAACTACGCTCACTCTTAAAGGAGAGAGCATGTTATGGTTAGCGCCAATCCACTCCAACAAGTGTCAGCGTCATGTTCCATCAGATGTAAGTCGGGAGAGGATTATCCTCTAGTCCCGTAACCAGAACCTCAGACGCTGTCTTGACCATTCCAGTTGGATGTGCTGGAGCAAGTCTGGACCTGCAGCTGGGCATCGTTGTCGACAGTTATGTCTTTGTAGTAGATTCCGCACAGTCCTGGCACTGATGGGACATAAGCCAGGAATGCTGCGAACTGTCTCAGACCGAATCACGGGTGAACCACATGGTTATGCTTATCTTGCCAGCGTGAAGTCCTGTCTGCTGTTGCCAGTCTTTAGGTAGCGACCCCATAATGACTGTATGATGTTACCAAACGACAAACAATAAGTTCATGTTTCTCATTATGCTCGGGGAGGCGTAGCCTTACATCTTGTCACTGAAATAAACATATTTTACAGAAACAAAATTGTTCATAAAAATAATAATATGATATCATGAAAAGGAGCCCTTTCTTCTTTTCCTGAAACTGTGGATATCTAGACTGGACACATGTTCCAGACTTGCTTGGGCTTTTTCGACATATTTTTTTCAGGGTTTGTATGACAGATTAGGAGAGGCAGGGCATACCGTTTGTCAGGTTTGGCCGTCATCAAGTTGTCCATTCATTTGGAACCATTTTCTCAGCGGTTTTACCGATTCGGTCCTACGTATACTGCGAATGAGTGACGGTTGCTTGTTATGCTGAAGACCCGGGTTTTATTCCTCACATGGCTACATGAGTATTGCTAAAAGCGTGGTATAAATTTAAATTATAAATTAAAGCATGGTATACTCACTCATCATCATCATCGTCGTCATCGTCGTCGTCATCATCATCATCATCATCATCATCATCATCATAATTATCATAATCAATAATAAGGGACATCGTACAGAAACAATTTATGCTGCGCCATCTTAGTGATATCAGACACATTTCCTTAATCATTTAATTTACATTGGCCCATGTGCAGTCTGGATTTAAGGTCAAAGTCAAGGTAGAAACAGGGTCTATGTTATCCTTGAGACGGCTTTCTTACTCCATGTTGTTCTTTATTGCGTACACACAAAAATAGATAAAATAACTGAGGTATACTGAGAAGTTCTATTTCAGCACATGAACTTGGCAACTTGCAGTCTTTCTTGTCGTTTCTCACATTACGATCAAACATAAACAACAGACACGTAAACCAACATTTGAACTTTATTATATACTCATGCCAATAATGGTTGTCACCCCCTTCAATGTTTTAATTGGAGAGGGTGTGGGAATGAAGTGTGAGGTGTGTGGGGGTTCGGGTGGGGAGGGGCTGACAACATTATTGACATGAGTATATGTCACCTTGACACTTCTGTCCTCTATACGTGCTTACCGTTAGTAACATACGGCATGTGCTAGTAGAGTCATTGAACACGGACCCAACCTGTTGGGGGGAGACCGCCTCCGTGGTGTAGTGGTTAGAGCGTCCGCCCGGAGAGCGGAAGGTCGCGGGTTCGATCCCCGACCGCGTCATACCAAAAGATGTAAAAATATGGTACTTGTTGGTCCCTGCCTGGCGCTCGGCATTAATGGGTACAACAAGGACTGGTCGGCTCGGAGTCAGTATAATGTGTCTGAGTGGGGTATTCATGCTTCACTGCGGCATGGTATCTCAGTGGGATAGCACTATAAAACCAGCTTAAGTCTGGGCTAGTACAAGCAGCCGCACATACACATACACACGCATGCACGTCGTCATATGAGCGAAATATTCTCAAGCACGACGTAAAACCCAATTTCACCTCACCTCACCTCACCACCTGTTGGGGGTGTTCTTGAGAAGCTGATGACTCTGACACTAAGTTAGTTGAGGAGGACGGAGGGTTTTCGTCGGGTTCAAGATAATTGTTAACATATTGCGCCTAGACTAACGCTTAGTCTCTGAACATATGCATAATTGTATAATTGAAACAAAAAAAATCTTTTAAATTGAAAAGAAGCCGTGGTGTCTAAGCCCGGGTGACAATGGCACCATTTTTATGATAGTATTGACATTGCCCACATTGCCGTCAATGACTTTAACTGGCATTATACACTTACATTGTTATGCTTATTTATAGCAGCATGTGCGTGAAATTATCGCGGGGTATTGAGTATATGTCAACGATATAGTGAGTGAGTAACGGTATTTCATATCATTGCGCGTCTTTAAGAGGAAACCCTGCATTGATACAGTGGTGTGAGTCAGTTT